ACTCAGTATGGTGGGTCAGGCCCCCCACTATCACTCAGCAGGGTGGGCCAGCCCCCCACTATCACTCAGCAGAGTGGGCTAGCCCCCCACTATCACTCAGCAAGGTGGGCCAGCCCCCCACTATCACTCAATCACTCAGCAGAGTGGGCCAGCCCCCCACTATCACTCAGCAGGGTGGGCCAGCCCCCCACTATCACTCAACAGGGTGGGCCAGCCCCCCACTATCACTCAGCATGGTGGGGCCAGCCCCCCACTATCACTCATTATGGTGGGTCAGCCCCCCACTATCACTCAGCAGAGTGGGCCAGCCCCCCATTATCACTCAGCAAGATGGGCCAGCCCCCCACTATCACTCAGCAGAGTGGGGCCAGCCCCCCACTATCACTCAGTATGGTGGGTCAGCCCCCCACTATTACTCAGCAGAGTGGGCCAGCCCCCCACTATCACTCAGTAGAGTGGGCCAGCCCCCCACTATCACTCAGCAGAGTGGGGCCAGCCCCCCACTATCACTCAGTAGAGTGGGCCAGCCCCCCACTATCACTCAGCAGGGTGGACCCAGCCCCCCACTAACACTCAGCAGAGTGGGACCAGCCCCCCACTATCACTCAGCAGGGTGGGCCAGCCCGCCACTATCACTCAGTATGGTGGGTCAGCCCCTCCACTAACACTCAGCAGGGTGGGGCCAGCCCCCCACTATCACTCAGCTGGGTCGGCCTAGCCCCTCACTATCACTCAGCAGAGTGGGCCAGCCCCCCACTATCACTCAGCAAGGTGGGCCAGCCCCCCACTATCACTCAGCAGAGTGGGGCCAGCCCCCCACTATCACTCAGCAGGGTGGACACAGCCCCCCACTATTACTCAGCAAGGTGGGCCAGCCCCCCACTATCACTCAATCACTCAGCAGAGTGGGTCAGCCCCCCACTATCACTCAGCAGAGTGGGCTAGCCCCCCACTATCACTCAGCAGGGTGGGCTAGTCCCCCACTATCACTCAGCAAGGTGGGCCAGCCCCCCACTATCACTCAATCACTCAGCAGAGTGGGCCAGCCCCCCACTATCACTTAGCAGGGTGGACCCAGCCCCCCACTATCACTCAGCGGAGTGGACCTAGCCCCCCACTATCACTCAGCAGGGTGGACCCAGCCCCCCACTAACACTCAGCAGAGTGGGGCCAGCCCCCCACTATCACTCAGCAGGGTGGACACAGCCCCCCACTATCACTCAGTATGGTGGGTCAGCCCCCCCACTAACACTCAGCAGGGTGGGGCCAGCCCCCCACTATCACTCAGCTGAGTCGGCCTAGCCCCCCACTATCACTCAGCAGGGTGGGCCAGCCCCCCACTGTCACTCAGCAGGGTGGGCCAGCCCCCCACTATCACTCAGCAAAGTGGGCCAGCCCCCCACTATCACTCAGCAGGGTGGGCCAGCCCCCCACTATCACTCAGCAAAGTGGGCTAGCCCCCCACTATCACTCAGCAGGGTGGGGCCAGCCCCCCACTATCACTCAGAAAAGTGGGCTAGCCCCCCACTATCACTCAGCAGAGTGGGCTAGCCCCCCACTATCACTCAGTAGGGTGGGCTAGCCCCCCACTATCACTCAGCAAGGTGGGCCAGCCCCCCACTATCACTCAGCAGAGTGGGCCAGCCCCCCACTATCACTCAGTAGAGTGGGCCAGCCCCCCACTATCACTCAGCAGAGTGGGGCCAGCCCCCCACTATCACTCAGTAGAGTGGGCCAGCCCCCCTCTATCACTCAGCAGGGTGGACCCAGCCCCCCACTAACACTCAGCAGAGTGGGACCAGCCCCCCACTATCACTCAGCAGGGTGGGCCAGCCCGCCACTATCACTCAGTATGGTGGGTCAGCCCCTCCACTAACACTCAGCAGGGTGGGGCCAGCCCCCCACTATCACTCAGCTGGGTCGGCCTAGCCCCTCACTATCACTCAGCAGAGTGGGCCAGCCCCCCACTATCACTCAGCAAGGTGGGCCAGCCCCCCACTATCACTCAGCAGAGTGGGGCCAGCCCCCCACTATCACTCAGCAGGGTGGACACAGCCCCCCACTATTACTCAGCAAGGTGGGCCAGCCCCCCACTATCACTCAATCACTCAGCAGAGTGGGTCAGCCCCCCACTATCACTCAGCAGAGTGGGCTAGCCCCCCACTATCACTCAGCAGGGTGGGCTAGTCCCCCACTATCACTCAGCAAGGTGGGCCAGCCCCCCACTATCACTCAATCACTCAGCAGAGTGGGCCAGCCCCCCACTATCACTTAGCAGGGTGGACCCAGCCCCCCACTATCACTCAGCGGAGTGGACCTAGCCCCCCACTATCACTCAGCAGGGTGGACCCAGCCCCCCACTAACACTCAGCAGAGTGGGGCCAGCCCCCCACTATCACTCAGCAGGGTGGACACAGCCCCCCACTATCACTCAGTATGGTGGGTCAGCCCCCCCACTAACACTCAGCAGGGTGGGGCCAGCCCCCCACTATCACTCAGCTGAGTCGGCCTAGCCCCCCACTATCACTCAGCAGGGTGGGCCAGCCCCCCACTGTCACTCAGCAGGGTGGGCCAGCCCCCCACTATCACTCAGCAAAGTGGGCCAGCCCCCCACTATCACTCAGCAGGGTGGGCCAGCCCCCCACTATCACTCAGCAAAGTGGGCTAGCCCCCCACTATCACTCAGCAGGGTGGGCCAGCCCCCCACTATCACTCAGCAAAGTGGGCTAGCCCCCCACTATCACTCAGCAGAGTGGGCTAGCCCCCCACTATCACTCAGTAGGGTGGGCTAGCCCCCCACTATCACTCAGCAAGGTGGGCCAGCCCCCCACTATCACTCAATCACTCAGCAGAGTGGACCAGCCCCCCACTATCATTCAGCAGGGTGGGCCAGCCCCCCACTATCACTCAGCAGAGTGGGCCAGCCCCCCACTATCGCTCAGTATGGTGGGTCAGCCCCCCACTATCACTCAGCAGAGTGGGCCAGCCCCCCACTATCACTCAGTAGAGTGGGCCAGCCCCCCACTATCACTCAGCAAAGTGGGCCAGCCCCCCACTATCACTCAGTAGAGTGGGCCAGCTCCCCACTATCACTCAGCAGAGTGGGCCAGCCCCCCACTATCACTCAGCAGAGTGGGCCAGCCCCCCATTATCACTCAGTATGGTGGGTCAGCCCCCCACAATCACTCAGCAGAGTGGGCCAGCCCCCCACTATCACTCAGTAGAGTGGGCCAGCCCCCCACTATCACTCAGCAAAGTGGGCCAGCCCCCCACTATCACTCAGTAGAGTGGGCCAGCTCCCCACTATCACTCAGCAGGGTGGGCCAGCCCCCCACTATCACTCAGCAGGGTCGGCCTAGCCCCCCACTATCACTCAGCAGGGTGGGGCAGCCCCCCACTATCACTCAGCAGGGTCGGCCTAGCCCCCCATTATTACTCAGCAGGGTGGACCCAGCCCCCCACTATCACTCAGTATGGTTGGTCAGCCCCCACTAACACTCAGCAGAGTGGGGCCAGCCCCCCACTATCACTCAGCAAAGTAGGTCAGCCCCCCACTATCACTCAGCAAGGTGGGCCAGTCCCCCACTATAACTCAGCAGGGTCGGCCTAGCCCCCCACTATCACTCAGCAGGGTGGGCCAGCCCCCCACTATCACTCAGCAGAGTGGGCTAGCCCCCCACTATCACTCAGCAAGGTGGGTCAGCCTCCCACTATCACTCAGCAGGGTGGGCCGGCCCCCCACACCACACCACCCACCTCCCCCGCTCCCCCCCCCCCCAACCCAACCACCACAGGTCACCAACCCGCACTAAACCGGCGTGATGAAGTATGGTCAACTTTCGCCAATGACCGTCAGCGCATGGGGAGGGAGGCCACCTTCATCCAGCAGTGGAGTGACTTATGGCTGCGCATGCTGACGTTCGCTCGCGTGGACGGGTTGAGGAGGCAGCAGCGTGCGAGTGGGGCATAACACTCAGCTGTCCATCACCTGTATCACCTGTCTCTCACCTATCCATCACCTGTATATCCTGTCCATCAACTATTAATCACCTGCCTTACCTGTCCATTACCTGTGTCATCTTCCCATGGCTTATTTCATCTGTCCATCACGTGTCTCCCGCATGTCCATCACCTGTCCGTAACCTGTACCCTCCTGTCCATCGACCGTCTCATTTGTTCATCACGTGTACATCACGTGTCCATCACCTGTGTCTTTTGTCGACCACTTATTTCAGCGGTCCATCACGTGTCTCCCACATGTAAGTCGCCCATCTCATCTGTTCATCACCCATCCATCAGCTGTCTCATCTGTCCATCATCCTGTCAATAATCTGTCCATCACCTGTCTATCACATGTTCATCACCTGCCTCACCTGTTCATCACCTGACTCTCACCTGTCTCCCTTATCCATCACTTATCCCTCATCTGTCAAACCTTGTCTTACCAATCACCTGTCCATCACATCTCGAACTTGTCACCTGTCTCACCCCTACACGCTCGCGTGTCGACTCACCCTTTGTGCTACGAAAAAAGGGCCATTGCCCGGAACGGCGCTTGTGCCAGGCTAGGTTGCATCTAAGGCCACCACGCACACACCACAAGACAACAGCATCAACATCACGCGTACAAACGAACGGTGTTATTGACTCTCACCCTGCCACCCATCATCCCACCTCCCCCGGGCGTCAACAATCCGGGCTTAAGTGGCGTGGGTTCGCCTTCGGTAATGACCGTCGGTGTCAGCATCGCCGCGTCCCCGAATCAAAAACAATTACAGAGGTATAATGTCTCTCTGCTAATGGCCCCCCCATCTGTGCTCTATCATCCCCACCCCACCACAACCTCTCTCCGCAAGGACTATAAAAACCCAGCTGTCCAGCAGACTCACCATCAAACGCTCAACTCCTTCCTGCCTTCAAGCTCCCCGCTCCAGTCTCTCTCTCAACGCAACTCCTCCACACCTCGTCCTCTCACCACCACCACCACTCACCCACCAACCATGTCGTGCTCCGTGCGCAGCTGCCTGGCCCCTGGCCGCGGCTTCTCCTCCCGCTCGGTTGGCGTCACCTCACGCCCCTTCCGCTCGGGATTCACCGCGTGGAGCTCGGCCGGTGGCTCCGCGCTCGGCGGTCTCGGAGGAGCCCGCAGCGCCTTCTGCTACCCGAGCCGGGGAGCTCCCTGCCGACCCCGCATGCGCGCTCCCACGCCCTGCATGCCCACCGTGCCCTGCGGGCCCCTGTTCGGGCCCTGCGGGCCGCTCACGGCCGCCGCGGCGCCCTGCGGGGTCCTGCTGACCAACGAGAAGGAGGCGCTGCAGGACCTGAACGAGAGGCTGGCGGGTTACCTGGACAAGGTGCGCTACCTGGAGCAGGCCAACCAGGAGCTCGAGTGTAAGATCAAGGAGTTCCGCGCCAACAGCTGCATCGCTGAGCAGCAGTGGGAGCCCTGCATGGGCAACATCGAAGAGCTCATGGGACAGGTGAGCGAGGGGGGGTGAACGCGTGGGCGAGGGGGGTGAACGCGTGGCCGGTGTTGGCGGGTGTGAGAGCGCGGTGGTGGGACGGGTGAGGGTAGGGGTGGTGAGTGCGCGGCTGTTCACGGGGCAGGTGAGGGTGAGCGTTTGGTGGGTGCGGGGTCATGGGCGAGGTGAGGGTGCGTGGTGGGTGAGGAGGTGAGCGTGGGGGTCTCCCCTAGGTCGACTCAGCCTCAAATGAGGCAGTCGCCCTCCGTTGCTGCTGGAGGGCGACTGCCTCCAACTGCCCAGCAGCAGTAGCAGCGTTCTCTTGGGTTCTTTCGGTAAAGTCACGTAGGTATAAAAATAAAATAAATCACGACGTTTCGGGCGCAACACAAGCGTCCGTCATCAGGTGGGAAAGCAATAGCAGCAGCGTCCTTCACGAGCCTCCTCCACAGAGGCCGACATGGACACCGCCTGCACCACGCTCGTAGGCAGCGGACACCTCAGCTGACGTCACCCACCACACCTGTCCCCCGCCCCCCGCCCTCTGACCCCCCCAGGTGGAGGTGGCCACGCTGGAGAACACGCGACTCGTCCTGGAGATCGACAACGCGCGACTCGCGTCCGAGGACTTCCGCGTCAAGTGCGTGAGCCTCACCCACCCACCCACCCACTCGCTCACCCACCCACCCACTCGCTCACCCACCCACCCACTCGCTCACCCACCCACTCGCTCACCTACTCACCTACTCGCTCACCCACTTACCTACTCGCTCACCCACTCACCTATTCACCCACTCGCTCACCTAGTCACTCGCCCACTCGCTGGCCCACTCACCTACTCACGCACCCACCCACCCACTCACCTATTCACCCAATCGCTCGCCCACTCACCTACTCAGGCACCCACCTACTCACTCACCTACTTACTCACCCATTCACCCACTCACTCACCTACTAAATCACCTACTCATTCACCCACTGGCTCACCTACTCACCCGCCCACTCAACTGTGCCCTCACCTGTGCGCTTACCTACACACTCACATGGGCACTCACCCGTATCCCCTGACATTCACATGCACTCACCTAAATACTCACCCATGCCCTCCCTCCCCTGCCCTCGCCTGCCCTCTCCTGCCCTCCCTCGCCCTCTCCCCTGCCGCTCTCCCCCGCGCCAGCCCTGCCCTCCCTCCCCTGCCCTCTCCTGCCCCCTCGCCCACTCCCCTGCGCCAGCCCTGCCCTCCCTCCTCCCTCTCCCTGCCCTCTCCTATCCCCTGCCCCTCGCCATCTCCCTCGCGCCAGCCCTGCCCTCCCTCCTCCCTCCCTCTCCCTGCCCTCTCCTATCCCCTCGCCCTCTCCCTCGCGCCAGCCCTGCCCTCCCTCCCTTGCCCTCTCCTATCCCCTGCCCCTCTCCCCCGCGCCAGCCCTGCCCTCCCTCCCTGCCCTCTCCTGCCCCCTCGCCATCTCCCTCGCGCCAGCCCTGCCCTCCCTCCCCTGCCCTCTCCTTTCCCCTGCCCCTCTACCCCGGCCCCTCCGCTGCCCCCCTCCCCCCGCCCTCAAGGTGGGAGGCTGAGTCGGCGCTGCGCGAGACGGTGGAGGCCGATGCCCACGAGCTGCGCCGCCTCTCGGCCGAGTACTGCGCGTGCCGCAACCAGCTGGCGTGCGAGCAGAACGTCCTGCAGGGAGAGATCCACACGCTCAAGAGCCACCACCGCGGGGTGAGGGACTACGCGGGGGAGGGGAGGAGAGGGACACGGAGGGGGGGGGGGACACGGGGGAGGGAGGCATGGGTGTTGGAAGGGGGGGAGGGTTGCGCTAACATGGGGAGACACGGGGAGATACGGGGAGGGAATTCGGGATGGGGGGGGGACACGGAGGAGAGGGGTCTTGGGGCACGGGGTGGGGGGGGGGGAGAGACACGGGGAGGGACACTTAGAGAGAGAGAGACAATTGGGCATGGGGAGAGAGACACGGGGACACGGCGGGGGGGGGCATTGGGACACGGGGAGAAACACAGAGAGAGACACAGAGAGACACACACACACTCGGGCACGTGGGGGAGACTGCCTGACATCTGTGGAAAAAAAAGAGCTTCATAGCTCATCGGATTCCTCCAGTATGAATAAATATTTTGATTTCTGAGAGAGTCACGGGGGGGGGGGGGGGGGGAGAGACACGGGGGGTGGTGTTCGTGGTGGTCGTGGTGGTGGTGGAAGTGAAATGATCCCAGCTGTTTATTGTCGCTGGCGGTGCTGTGCGTGGTGGTGACGTCCGCAGGAGATGGAGTCGCTCCGCATGGACTACAGTAGCTCGACCACTAAGGTGGAGATGGACAACTCCCCTGGGGCCGACACGGCCGGTATCATCAGCGAGATCCGCGCGCAGTACGAGACCATGATTCACAACAACCGCCACGAGGCCGAGTGCATGCTGCAAAGCAAGGTAGGCAGCGGCCCAACAACAACAACAATAACACGAGCAGCAGCAACAGCAACAACAACAACACCGCCACCAACAACAACACGAGCAGCAGTAACAACACGAGCAACAACAGCACCACCAGCAACACCAACACGGCCACTAACAACAACAACATCATCATCATGACCATCACCACCAACAACACCAGTAACACCACCACCACCAGCAACAACAACACCACCACCACCAGGAACAACACCAACCATAACATCACGAATACCACCACCACCACCAACATCATCATCATGACCATCACCACCAACAACACCAGTAACACCACCACCACCAGCAACAACAACACCACCACCACCACCACCAGGAACAACACCAACCATAACATCACGAATACTACCACCACCACCAACATCATCATCAGCACCACCATCACCATCTTCGAGCTCATGTCTCCTCCTCGTTCATGTCCCTGTGCCCCCCCCTCCCCCCCCGTGTCTCCACTTCGTCCCCACTCTGCCCACTCAACCCTTCCCCCCTCGTGTGTCTCCCCCATGCCCCCCCCGACATTACCAGCTGGAGGCTGCCGAGGCATCCGCCGTGCACTCCCACGGGGAGCTGGCGGCCGCTAAGAACCAGGCACATCACCTGCGCCAACAGTACCAGACGATGGAGGTGGAGATGGAGTCACTCCGCAGCGCGGTAAGCAAGGACGGGGGGTGGGGGCAACGGATTGGGGGGTGGGGGCATGGATTTGGGGGGGGGGGGGGCACGGATCGGGCTCGCACAGAGCCATCCTAGGGCACGTAGAGCCACACAGAGGAACAGAGTCATCCTAGGGCACGTAGAGCCACACAGAGGAACAGAGTCATCCTAGGGCTCACAGAGCCACACAGAGGAACAGAGTCATCCTAGGGCACGTAGAGCCACACAGAGGAACAGAGTCATCCTAGGGCTCACAGAGCCACACAGAGGAACAGAGTGATCCTAGGGCTCACAGAACCACACAGAGGAACAGAGTGATCCTAGGGCTCACAGAACCACACAGAGGAACAGAGTGATCCTAGGGCTCACAGAGCCACACAGAGGAACAGAGTGATCCTAGGGCTCACAGAACCACACAGAGGAACAGAGCCACCCTAGGGCTCACTCAGCCACACAGAGGAACAGAGTCATCCTAGGGCTCACAGAGCCACACAGAGGAACACAGTCATCCTAGGGCTCACAGAGCCACACAGAGGAACAGAGCCACCCTATGGCTCACAGAGCCACACAGAGGAACAGAGCCACCCTAGGGCTCAAAAGAACCACACAGAGGCTTAGAGCCACCCTAGGGCTCACACAGCCACACAGAGGAACAGAGTCATCCTTTGGCTCGTCGGAGCCTGCACACGATCACCACCTGGTGGCTCCGACATGACACCTCTCCCCCACCCCGTACCCCTTCTCTCCCGCTCTGCTCTCCGCGCTGCAGAACGCCACGCTGGAGGACAATCTGGCGGAGACGGAGGAGCGCTTCAGCGTGGAGGTGCGTAGCCTGGCCGAGGTTCTTTCGCGCCTGGAGGCCGAGTACTCGGACGTGCGCGCCAACGTGGAGCGCCAGCTGCACGAGTACGAGTCGCTGCTCAACATCAAGATGGGTCTCGAGATGGAGATCTCCACCTACAAGTGTCTCATCGAGGGCGAGGACTCGAGGTGAGAGAGGGTCGGGGGCAGGAGAGGTTGCGTGCGTGTGCGTATGCCGTGTCGGATGAAGCTAAGTGCGGGCCTGTAGCACATGTTATTATAAAGGGAGCCTAAATAATAATAATAAAAAAACAAGTAAATATTACAACACCAATTTTTTTACTTGCATTGTAAAGTCATTGTATTTTTGCATTTGCTATACAGCCGGATAATACGACAAATCGCTAACCTTAAACTACCAGTCGTTCATAAAAGTTGAAGGCGGTATAGTACTATAGTAATAGAGCAAGTGTAGAATCACTGAACCGGAATTGATAGCTTGAAAGCATTTAGCGCGGGGCCCTTGAAAGTGCGGAGCCCGTAGCTACTACTACATATGTAGCTACTTGTGCTACTAGGATAATCTGGCAGTGTGTATGTGATGTGTGTGTGTGTATATAGTGTGATTGTATGCTGTAGTGTAGCAGTTAGTGCTATGCTGCGCTATGAACCCGGCGGCCCAGATTCGATTCCCGCTCACGGCCAACACCGGTGACGATTATCTGAACCGGTTCTGGGCCTCCCCGTAGGTTGACTCAGCCTCAAATGAGTACCTGGTGCGGTGTGTAAACATCGCCACTGGGGAGACAAAGGTGATCGGGCGTGGTGCTGGCCACCCATCCCCTCGTGTACCAGTCCGGCCTTCATAGGTGCTCACTAACAGCACTTGCCTCTCCAGTCTGTTAAGGCTATACGGGGGATCTTTGTTTTTGTGTAGGTGTATGAGCGACTGGGTGAGTGGGTGTATGGGCGAGTGGGTGAGTAAGTGAGTGGGTGAGTGGGTGGATGGGCGAGTGGGTGAGTGAGTGGGTGTATGGGCGAGTGAGTGAGTGAGTGGGTGAGTGAGTGGGTGTATGGGCGAGTTGGTGGGTGAGTGAGTGTATGGGCGAGTGAGTGAGTGAGTGGGTGGGTGAGTGGGTGTATGGGCGAGTGGGTGGGTGAGTGAGTGGGTGTATGGGCGAGTGAGTGAGTGGGTGAGTGAGTGGGTGTATGGGCGAGTGGGTGATTGAGCCGGCGTGTGCGGGTGCTGTGTGCGGTGCTGCAGGCTGAGCAGTGAGGTTCGCTGTAACCCTGCGTGCTGCGGCTCCAGCAGAGTCTGCACCTCGCTCCCCATGCCTTGCGGTGAGAACAGCGCACACAGCACACACACACACACATAGCATGCACACACACCATGCACACACACACATAGCACGCACACACACATAGCATTCACACACACCATGCACACACACACACACAGCACGCACACACACATAGCATTCACACACACCATGCACACACACATAGCATGCACACTCACCATGCACACACACACGTAGCATACACACACATAGCACGCGCACACATCATGCACACACACCCATAGCATACACACACATAGCACGCGCACACACATAGCATATACACACGGCACACACCCAGCATGCACACACATCATACATACACAACATACACAACATATACACAAACATAGCACACGACACAGCACACACGTGACACAGCTCACCCCCACCCCGCGCTCACCTCTGTCCGTGCCCCCCCCCCCCTCTTGCCCCCCCCCCCCGATGCAGGCAGCGACCCGTGCAGCCTGAACGTGTGCTCCTCCGGGCCCGTGTGCACTATGCCCTGTCTGAAGTGAGCAGTCCCCGACCCACACCCACCCCCCACCTCCCCTTACTGGGGGGGGGGTCCACAAGAGGGGTCCCACGCGGGACCCCACACACAGAGAGTGAGAGACGCACACAGGAGGGACACGGTGGCGGGGGGGGGGGGCGGTGAGCGCTCGGCCGCACAGCTGACGAACAGCCCCCCACGGCCCCGACCAACCACGTGGAGGGGGTGGGCTACTCACGCATCACCCTGACGCCGTGGGGCCTTGTCACACCCTGGCCCCAAAGGGACCACTCATATCGTGACCCCACGGGGCCCGCTCATACCGTGACCCCACGGGGCCCGCTCAAACCGTGACCCCATAGGGCCCACTCATACCGTGACCCCACAGGGCCCAATCATACCGTGACCCCACGGGGCCCGCTCATACCGTGACCCCATAGGGCCCACTCATACCGTGACCCTACAGGGCCCACTCATACCGTGACCCTACAGGGCCCAATCATACCGTGACCCCACGGGGCCCACTCACACCCTGACCCCATAGGGCCCAATCATACCGTGACCCCACGGGGCCCGCTCACACCCTGACCCCATAGGGCCCAATCATACCGTGACCCCACGGGGCCCGCTCACACCACTGACCCCACAGGGCCCACTCATACCGTGACCCCACAGGGCCCACTCATACCTTGACCCCACAGGGCTCACTCATACCGTGGGACCCCACTCACACCACTGACCCCACAGGGCCCTCTCATACCGTGACCCCACTAACACCCACTCCGAGCCCAGCAATCGGCTCAGCCGTGACTGCCCCGTGACGCCGGTTCCGCTGACGCAGCAGCCCCGGCTGCGCGCAGACCTCCGCTCTCGTCCGCCCGTGTTGGTGGGCGCCCTCATTTCACCTCGTTACCCCCCCCCCCTCCCCCCCGGTGTAACGAGGTGTCACGTGGGGCAACCTCGTCAGCCTCACCTCACCTCGCTTCCACCACCCACCCACCCACACAGCGTCTCTCTGTGTTTCTGTCCTCTTGACTCAAATAAAACTCCTGCTGCAAACCAGAGTTGCCTCTACGTGCCTGTGTGTGTGTGTCTGTGCGTGATCGCCACTGGGGAGACAAAGGCGGCCACCCACCCTCCAGATGTGCCCCTACTCGCTGACGGCGCTTGCCTCGACAGCCTGTTGAGGCTACAACCGGGGATCGTTGTCTTTGTGCGATCGCCACCGGGGAGACAAAGGCGGCCGGGCGTGGTGCTGACCACCCTCCCTCCCTCGTGTGCCGTGTCGGCCTTCGTTAGTTGCTCGCTGTTGGTGGGGAGCGGCGGCGTCGTGGTTAGCGCACCGCGCCAGGAACCAGGCGACCCAAGTTCGAGTCCAGCTCACAGCAGCCAACGTCGGTGACAGCGAATATCTTGAACCGGGGTCTGGGTCTCTCCTAGGTCGACTCGGTCTCAATTAGGTGCCTGCGTATGCTGTGTAAACTTGAGCACTGGCGGAGAGACAAAGGCAGCTGGGTGTGCCCGCTGGCCACACCACCCACTCTATAGGTGCTCGTTCACAAAGAGCACTTTGCCACAAAAGTATGTCAAAGGCTATACGGGGGATCTTTGTCTTCGTTTGTGTATTTTACCTCGCTGCTCGGCTCTGATCTACAGCAGCGACGACATCCAGCAAAACCTCCACAGGGGATGTTCAGTGGCTTCATCTCTCTTTATAAACCACCTGAAGCCTCCGTGCACACCACGTGACTTCTGTGGCCACCCCACACTCTGAACCCCTACCACGTCATCTGCAGAGCTCCGTCTCTCTTTATAAACCAGCTCAAGCCTCCCGTAAACCACGTGACTTCCGTGGCCACCCCCACACTCTGAACTCCTCCCACGTCATCTGCAGAGCTCCGTCTCTCTTTATAAACCAGCTCAAGCTTCCCGTAAACCACGTGACTTCCGTGGCCACCCCACACTCTGAACCTCTCCCACGTCATCTGCAGTGCTCCGTCTCTCTTTATAAACCAGCTCATGCCTCCCGTAAACCACTTGACTTTTGTGGCCACCCCCACACTCTGAACCTCTCCCACGTCATCTGCAGTGCTCCGTCTCTCTTTATAAACCAGCTCATGCCTCCCGTAAACCACTTGACTTTTGTGGCCACCCCACACTCTGAACCCCTCCCACGTCATCTGCAGAGCTCCGTCTCTCTTTATAAACCAGCTCAAGCCTCCCGTAAACCACGTGACTTCCGTGGCCACCCCACACTCTGAACCTCTCCCACGTCATCTGCAGTGCTCCGTCTCTCTTTATAAACCAGCTCATGCCTCCCGTAAACCACTTGACTTTTGTGGCCACCCCCACACTCTGAACCTCTCCCACGTCATCTGCAGAGCTCCGTCTCTCTTTATAAACCAGCTCAAGCCTCCCGTAAACCACATGACTTCCGTGGCCACCCCACACTCTGAACCCCTCCCACGTCATCTACAGAGCTCCGTCTCTCTTTATCAACCAGCTCAAGCCTCCGTGCACACCACGTGACTTCCGTGGCCACCCCACACTCTGAACCCCTACCACGTCATCTGCAGAGCTCCGTCTCTCTTTATAAACCAGCTCAAGCCTCCGTGCACACCACGTGACTTCCGTGGCCACCCCACACTCTGAACCTCTCCCACGTCATCTGCAGAGCTCCGTCTCTCTTTATAAACCAGCTCAAGCCTCCCGTAAACCACGTGACTTGCGTGTGTGTGGCCACCCCACACTCTGAACCCCTCTCGTCTCCCCGCCCGCTGTGAAAACAGAAGCCGCTCCTCCTCTGTGCAGCAGCATCATCATCATCAGCAGCAGCATCATCATCAGCAGCATCATCATCATCAGCAGCAGCGTCAATGCCCCGCACGCAGCTTCTTCCTGCTCCCTCTCCATATCTCTCCCGCACGCTCTGCTCCCGTTTCTCCGTTCCCTCTCCATCCTCTTCTTCTCATTTCCCATCGCTTCTCTTCTCTCATCCGTCTCTCAGCGAGTCTATGGGCAGCGTGGGGGGTGGGGGGGGGAGGTCTATGGGCAGTGTTAGTCTACGGGCAAGTTTGTATGTGTGTATGTATGTGTGTGTTGAACTTCTTTCGCACCGTACGTAGCCCACCGCGCGAATCAAACAAACAAAAGCTGTTTCGGCATGCGGTGGCTGGGCATGCGGGCTACATGACCCAGCCATCGCAGCCTTGCCTGCCGGAGGAGCTCACCGATGGGACCCTGCCCAGATCTTTCAAGGATTTGTGAGCTCCTCACACAATCCAGTCTGGTTAAACCCAGGATGGATCGTAGGCAGGCCAGCCTAAATGTTTCTAACCGGCGAAGATGTTCCATTAGGGGGGTCCACGTTTCGCAAGCGTAGAGAAGGGAGGGAATGACCGTGGCCGAGAAGACCTGAAGCTTAGTGCGGAGCGACAGACCAGGTAGCTTCCACACAGCGTTACGCAACCGATGAAAAGATATTGCCGCTCGACTGATTCGGAGTGAGACCTCTGCTGTTAAACTGGTGCCAGTCATAAGCACACTGCCCAGGTATGGGAAACTCTCCACTCTCTCCACAACTGCCCCATCACCGATTGGGAGTTGTGGGGGTGGAGTGTCCGATGGTACAAAATACCCAGGCAGGTGCTTGGTTTTGGTGGGGCTGATGGTAAGGCCCCACCTCTTAGTGGCACGCTCCAGTCTCAGCAGCAGCGTCTCCAACTCCTCCTCTGACTGAGCAGCTATTACCAAGTCATCAGCATACATAACGTGGTTGAGCAATAGGGAGCCATCCCTTGACCGCACCCGGGCATCGATTAGCCTCCCATTATATATGTACCATATGGAGATTCCCCCGGTACAGCTATTGAAGGCTTCACGAACTACGTGGTCAAAATAGATGTTAAATAATGTGGGAGCCAGAGGACATCCCTGTCGCACCCCAAGGTGTACAGGGAATGGCTCTGACTCCCGGCCACGTAGTTTTACCCGGGCCCGCTCACCATCATGAAGGTCCTTAATGATCGTGAGCAGAGGGTCAGGTACTCCAAAAGCACGAAGAACGACCCAGAGCCCAGGCCTACTGATGGTATCATAGGCCTTGACCAGGTCAATAAAGCAGAGATGTAGGTCTTGTTGGAATTCCCTACACCTCTGCTGTAGCAGACGGACAGAAAATATGGCATCTGTGCAGGACCGCCCTTTCCTGAAACCGCATTGGGGCTCCGCAAGCCTCTCCTCAGCGTGCCTGGCAAGGCGATGCTGAATAATCCTTGCCAGGACCTTTCCCGGCACACTGAGGAGTGAGATGCCCCTGTAGTTGTTACAGTCTGTGCGGTCCCCCTTCTTAAAAAGGGGGACCACCAGGGCATCCTTCCAATCCTGCGGAACCCGTCCAGTGGTCCAGACTGTTGTTATGATGTCATATAGGGCAGTCTGTGCACAAACGCCACCCTCCCTCAGCATTTCGCTTGGAAGATCATCTCTGCCCGCTGCCTTTCCTGGTCTCAGACTCCGGATCGCCTTCAATACTTCCTCAGCAGATGGCACCTCAGCCAGCCACTCACAGGGGGTGACTTCATCCAATATTTGAGGCACCGCAGCCTCAGCAGGGTCATCCTCACTTTGTGCCACGATGTTTTCCTGGCTGAGGGATTTTCCCTCCCCCAGGACCTCACAGAAATGCTCAGCAAATCTGCGAACCTGTTCCCGGGGGTCGGAAATTGGATCGCCGTTTTTTCCCCTAATGATGGTAATAGGTGTGGCGCTGCAGGTTACTTTTTTGATGGAGTTAAATAGAGATTTGTGATCACGGGCCACTGAGGCAGACTCCATCTCCTCAGCAACCCGCGACCACCACCCATCCTTGCAGCGCCTCACGGCTCTCCGAACCTCCGAGCGAAGGCTGCGGTAAGCCTCCTCATTCTCTGACGTGGGACTCTGTAGCCGATGACAGTGGGCCTGTCGCTTTTTCTCAACCATCGTGAACAACTCCTCTGTCATCCAGGGTGTCTGGGGAGGTCTGGACCGCGTACCCAAAGCAGCCATTGCAGCTGCATGAGTCACAGTCCTAAACCTCGCCCATTTACCCTCGACATCAGGAGGAGTCGGGGACGATGCCAATCCCAGCCGCAAGCGATGATGAAATTCTCGCTTGCAACTTTCATCAGATAACTGAGACCAGGCCACTTTAGGTTGGAATGGGGTCCTGGGTGTACACCCACCACCGGAGTGGAAGAATGGCAGGCGCATCTTACAGATGACTAGTCGATGGTCAGAGGGCAGATCAGCTCCACGGTAGGTCCTGGTGTCAAGGACATGGGCTCGCATTCGCTGGTCCGTCACTATGTAGTCCAGCAGATGTTCTTGCTTGGACCCGGCATGCATCCATGATGTTGTGTGGATGCGCCGATGCCGGAACAGCGTGTTGGTAATTACAAGCCCATGGGCTGCACAAAAATCTAGCAGCCTCCTACCGTTGTTATTGAGCTGATCTGGCCCATGCCCTCCAATCACTCCAGGCCAGGTGCCAGTATCATGACCAACTCGGGCAATGAAGTCACCCAACATGATGACTCTATCCCGAGGGGCCACTTTAGCCAGCACCTGTGACAGGAGGTCATAGAAGGCATCTGACTCATCGGCTTTGCCTGCATCCCTCCACGGATGTTCATCTTCGGTGGGGGCATAAGTAACCACGACCACCATTCCTCGCCTCCTGTTGATGGGAAGGCGAGCCCAAAGTAGCCTGGGGCTTACAGCTTCCCACACCTCACCGCCACGCTCCCACGCCCCCTTCATTCTTTTGTTCAAAAGAAGACCCACACCCTGTTGTTTGGCAGTCTGCTGCCCCGAGTAGAGGACTGTCCACCCCTCATGGTGGCAGGAGCCAGAGCCGGTCCACCGGACCTCCTGAATGCCGCATAGATCCAGGCGGTACCGGTCCAGCTCCCGACAGAGGAGTGGCAGCCTCTCCTCTGCAGTGAGCGTTCGAACATTCCACGTGGCCAACCGTAGTGGCTTTTCGTTGTTTCTGGAGTAGCCCCGAGGGTAGGTAT